ATCGATTTCCATCCTATCCGGTTCTGTTTGGTTCGAGAAGCTTGACCCTGCGCAACTTTGATTATATCACTATTTCTCTCAACAATGTGTGTCTCAAGAGCATCACCAAGGCCATGACGTCGAGACTTAAGCCCATCATGAGACAATTAATTTCTCCTAGACAGAGCAGTTTCATCCGTGGAAGACAAACAACGGATAACATCATTGTTGTCCAAGAAGTTTTACATTCCTTCCGGAAGAGAAGAGGGAAGAAAGGAGGCATGGTCTTCAAGATTGACCTTGAGAAAGCGTACGATATGCTCAGGTGGGACTTCCTGCGAGATACCTTGAAGGAAGTCGGGCTGCCAAGTAGCTGGATCAGCTGTATCATGTACTGCGTTGAGCATAATACCATGCGCATCAGATGGAATGGGGAGCTGTCTCCACCAATCACGCCGTCCCGTGGGGTTCGCCAGGGAGATCCTCTCTCTCCCTATCTCTTCGTTCTTTGCATGGAAAGGTTATCTCATAAGATCGATGAGGCGGTCAATAAAGGACAGTGGAAAGCCGTGCGGCTGACCAGTTCCGGGCCGCCACTAACTCATCTTTTTTTTGCAGATGATCTACTGCTTTTTGTAGAAGCGGAGAGGAGGCAGATCCGAGTCATTAAGAAGTGCCTGGCGGACTTCTGCCACAGTTCGGGTCAACGGGTCAACTACAACAAGTCCATCCTCTATGTATCTCCGAATGTTGCCCGGCGAAAAGCCGAATACCTGAGCACGTGCGCGGGGATTCCTCTTAAGGCTGCATTGGGAAGATATCTCGGGATTCAGGCTATTCAGGAAAGGGTCACTAAAGGGAGATATCAGTCCCTCATCCTTCGGATCTAGAAGAAGATGGCCCCGTGGAAGGCGAAACGCCTGTCTTTTGCAGCTCGGCTTACCGTTGCCCAATCGGTAACGGCTTCCTTACCCGTTTACACTATGCATACCGAGTTGATTCCTAGTGGTGTTTGTAGGAGCATTGATAAGATCAACAGGGACTTCATCTGGGGAGATGAGGAGAATCACCCAAAGTTTCATCTTGTTGCCTGGGAGAGACTGTTGAGGCCTAAAGCGCAAGGGGGAGTGGGACTCAGGTCAACCCGGCAGGCTAATCTGGCCATGCTCGCCAAGTGCGGTTGGCGTCTTCTTCAGGAAAAGGAAAATGTTTGGCAGCAGCTCCTCCTCTCGAAGTATGGCGGCCAAAGACCCGGATTGGAGGTCCTGCGGAAAAAACAGGGAAGTTCCTTCACCTGGAATAGCTTTGTGAAAGCTGCTGATCTCCTTAAACAAGGATGTGCGTGGAATATTAGCAATGGGAAAAGAACTAAGTTTTGGAATGATTTGTGGGTTTTGCAGGTGCCTCTAAAGGAGCTGGCGACTAGTGCTTTACCGGAGGGCGCGGAGGAAGCTAAAGTGGCTGATTTTGTTCGTGAGGATGGTAGCTGGCGCATGGAAATGTTCTCCGGGCTCCTTCCGCCGGACGTCTGCAGCAAGATTACAAGTGTAGCTGTTGATAGCCTGTCTCAGAATGAGGATACTCTCTTCTGGGCTCCGGCTGCTGACGGCAGATTCTCTACGAAGTCGGCATATGCTTTGCTCACTAAGCATGACCAGCAGGCTGAAGACGTGATCTGGAGGTCGATTTGGCGACTCCCTGTTCCGGAGCGGGTTCGAGTCTTTTGTTGGCTGGCAGTGCAGGGGAAGATTGCTACGGATACCATCTGTTTTCAAAGGAAAGTGGCAACGTCACCTTGCTGTTTGCGGTGCACAGGCCACCCGGAGACGGTGTTACATATAGTGAGAGATTGTACTCCAGCACTTTTCTTCTGGTCCAGGCTTGTTCCGCAACAAAAGCAGCATGAGTTCTTCAGTGCTAGCCATGATACTTGGTTTCGCAGTAACCTGTTCAGCAAAGAGTCCACCGGCTCGGGCATTGGTTGGCCGGGTTTCTTCAGCATGGCCATTTGGCTGTTATGGAAAAATCGAACAACCGCTGCCTTCAAAGGGGTAAGTGCGGCACTTTCAGCTCCATCTCTTATGCACTCCATCCTCACCAAGAGCAAACTGTGGAATGACTCTTGGCATGCTCCGGATTTGTTCATCAATCATAAGAAACAGCATTCTGATCGAGTGGTGGCAGCTATTAGATGGAAACCACCTAATGAGGGCTGGGTTTTGGTCAACACAGACGGTGCCTCGAACGGCAACCCAGGCCCGGCAGGTGCTGGGGGAATCATTCGAGACTCGCTAGGCAACTGGCTGGGTGGCTTCGTCGCCAATATAGGCACGGCTTCGGCGGCTTTAGCGGAACTTTGGGCTATTTTCTATGGGTTAGAGTTGGCTTGGAAACTCGGCTATCGAGTAGTGAAGCTTGAGTCTGATTCACAGTTGGCTATTCAGCTAATTCAGGAGAGGCATGATCACATTCATCCTTATGCAACACTTCTGAACCGTATTCGTAGAAAGATTGGACAGGATTGGTTGATGAGTCTGGCTCATACATACCGAGAAGGGAATAGAGTCGCGGACTGGCTCTCGAAGCACGGTCTCGTCTATCCCTACGGTATGCATGAGCTGGCTAATCCTCCATCGGGTGTTACTTCGATTCTGCAGGATGACATTAGAGGTGTTACTTTTGAGCGCCGAGTTGTGGCTAGCTCTTCTTCTTCCACCTAACTTCTCCCTGTAACTGTTCTTGTTCTTGGCCGTGGCCTCCTTGCTATGCAAAAAAAAAAAAAAAACTGACGACAAAAGTAGGTTAAAAATTTATGCTAATTTGAAATACATCTGTCCATCTTCTTCTGTTGAAAGGAGGAGGCATTAAGTTCCTAATTTGAAATTCATCTATCCATCCTCTTTATTATATAAACCATTCTAGTTACTATATAATTTTCAGAATAACCAAGTATTCATTCGTGATTTTGGTATTTCTTAGGTATTGTGTAGCTCTACCCCTGCATGAGGTTTAAACAAAATAATAATTGAAACTGGTTATCTTTTCGATCCTAATTTGAAATTCATCTGTCCATCTTCTTCGGTTGAAAGGAGGAGGCATTAAGTTCCTCTTTGCAATCTCCGTCGCCCCTGGCATTTCTGCTCCTCCCGTCATGGAATTGCAAACTGAAGATGTGGAGGCCGCCCAATCCCAATTCTCCGACGCCCTCCCTTTCTAACCCCTTGAAGAAAATTTTTTTAGGAATCTGCCGTGAGACCTGGTAAAAAGTCAATGAATATATATCTACGGTCGACTGGTCATGAAAGAATTTGATCGATTACAATTCAAGTTGTGCTAGATGTCTATCGAACGAATTATTCATTACTACAAATTAGAGTGTCGAAGATGTATTTATAGAAAATTTGCTGCTAACTACTAAACAAAAAGACCAAAAAATAGCCGAAATGAAATACAGATGAACAAAGTAGATAACAAATTCTATACATCCCAACAAATTCGTAAAAAAAAGTTGGCTAAAACATATAGTGAAAACCCCAAAATTTAGTCAATATTGGATATGATAGTACAAGACCCAAAAATCTAGTCATCATGCACTAAGGATTCCCAAACCTAATCAGCTTAATAGGTGAGCTATCTGGTCCTTCCAGCCGTGTATAATGTACATACACGTGTTACTAATCAGAGTAAATTAAATTGATGAAGACATCCAGACCCACTAGAAACAGTATAACTTTGTCCCTAATCCAAAACCATCAGAAATAATCAAAGCACGTATTACTAATCTCGCTAATGACTACTCCATCCTTTCTAGAAACTTGCATATATAAGCCATTGATCGCCCAAATCAAAAGGGGGGAAAAGACACATATTTTTTTTCTAATCAAACATCAACCCATATATATGAATGAATAGAGCTATGATATTCATAGCAGATATGGGGTATTGTATACTGTTAGTAAGAAACTATCGTATACTGAACGAGTAAAAATCTAGCTAGGTCCTAATTATTTTCTTAATTACGTATGAAAAAATCAATTTAATTAAATAACAATTATTTATAAACAACTCTTTTTCTTTAAATACAAACTAGATCCACTATCTTAGAATTTAGAATTTAAAGACTTAAAATTGTGTATCACTAATTAAGACTTGGGATATGATCTAAAATCCAATTAATTCATATTCTCAATAATATTTGCTTACTAATAGTACCCGCCCCCCTAAATTACAAGCTTTATCTTGTAAGGCTAACTCCAATGGAGCCTCTATAAATGGGGGAGCCTCTATATTTGGGGGAAAGTGGAGCCTCTATAAATGGAGGAGTCTCTATATTTGGGGGAGATCTCCAAAAGGACCCCCAAAATTGAGGGTGGAAATGGGGGTTCCCCAAATATAGAGACTCCCCAAAGCCCGCCACGTGGCGTTTCTTTTTCTTTTTAATATTTTAAAAGTTAATTGGGGTTTAATTAGAGATTAGTTAGGGGTTTAACTAGATCAATAATTTTCAAGTATTGTGTGTAAACCCAAATTAGGTCAATCATTTTTTGTCAACAAAAATTTTGTCTCAAAATTAAAAAAAAATCTACCAGAAAATTTCTATTTAAAAATGATGATGAACTATACAAAAATTAACATGAACAAATTATATTAAGTCTTCTATAAGTACATTTTTAGTAAATGAAAAACTTAAAAAAATGGAGATCTCTAAATATAGAGGATGTAGCATTGGAGCAAAACAAGAAAAAATGGGGATGAACCTCAAATTTGGGGATGATCCCAAATTTGAGGTTTGCACTGGAGTTGGTCTAACACCTTGCTAGGTAGCTACATATATATTCCCATCCCAAAACTCTCAAAAAAAATCTGAGTCTATCGTTTTCTCTTCTCGGCAGTATTCAAAGGGTACGTGACCCACTTTCTATTCCATCATATCAACATTACATAAATGCACCCAACCAAGCAACCGGCACCACTCACTAATCTTCCATAGCCAAATCATATATTGAAAGCTCTGCCCATATTGCTAGCTAAAGCGCTGCAGCCAGCCAGTGTTATTTTTATTATGGAGAGCCACTACTACAGAGAATGTTGCCGCAGTTGTCTTCTTTTCATCTTACTATTCAACCTTCTAACAAATGGCGGTCCTAGTACGGAAGCCTTGTCGACGGCGAGGCCTCTGAACAACTCGGTCACGGCGGTGTTGGTGTTCGGAGACTCCACGGTGGACGCCGGGAATAATAACTTCGTGAAGACGGCTTTCAAGGGAAATTTCCTTCCTTACGGGCAGGATTTCATCGGCGGGGAGCCCACCGGCCGATTCAGCAACGGCCGCCTGACCACCGACTTCATAGGTTAGTGTCAAGTCCGAATAGCATCGCCCATCTCTGTTTTACTTGATAATTGACATCAGAAATGAAAGAAAAAAATAAAGTGTACAATTAACACCAGTAATTAAGCTGAATCTTTTCACGTGATTCTGCACCTACTTGATTAATAGTTACGAGTTTCTTTTGTCTAATTTTGGTCTACAAATCACTGTATTCAGCTTTTTATATATATATATATATATTTACAGTATCAATTCGTGCTAGTTAATTTGGACTAATTATTTTTTAAATAAAAAAACTTGTAATTAATGATCTGCAATGCTCGTACTGTATGGTAAGATGCCATAATTATAATTAATGTTTCTGATCAAAATATTTACGACTGCTTAATTAGCCCAAGATCCAAGATGCCTATGAATAATTAAAAAAAAAAAAAAGAGTATTTCCCGGAAATTACTGTTATAATTATTGTGGGCTGTATTTTATTTGGAGGCAGCTTCGTACGTGGGAGTGAAGGAAAACGTGCCGCCGTATCTCGACCCGAGCCTCACCGTCGACGACCTCAAGACCGGCGTCAGTTTCGCTTCGGCCGGCACCGGCTACGATCCCATGACCCCTCAAATAAGTGTAATTTACCCCCCCTCTCTCTCTCTCTCTGTCTGCGGTGGTCCATTCTCTGTCTCACATAAACTCGCAGCCGATTGGCATTCAATTCAACATTTGCTATATTTTTATGTCTGGGCCAAAACCCATTTTGGGGTCCGTCTTCGTCTTGTCAATTTCTCCATGCGTATATCGGGACATCTACCAAAAATAACTGCGCGGTAAAAAAGGAGAGACTAACGGTAAGTTAATTTACTGCTGCTGCTTTGACTGGACAGAACGTGATACCAATAGAGCAGCAGCTGGATTACTTGAGAGAGTATAAGAAAAGGCTGGAAGCTGTGATGGGGAAGCGGAGGACGGAAGAGCACATAAGGAAATCACTGGTGGTGGTGAGTGCGGGAACCAATGACTTCGTCATCAGTTACTTTTCTCTGCCGTTTCGTAAAAAAACCTTTACCGTCTCGGAGTACGAGAAGTTCATCCTGCAAAAGTCCATGGACTTCGTCCAGGTATGTAATAAATAATATGCCATTATCTTTATCTAATGTCATAGAGCAATTGATGAATCAAATTAGAGTTTTGGAATCAAATTAGAATTTCCTTCATTAGAATGTCAATGAGGCATAGATGGTTCATGACTTGCTTCCTCGACTCGTGCCATCCACGCCCACTGTAATCAGGCAACGACCTTTGCTTTCTGTTGCCGCTCTCGAATGCTCGACGTGGCTTGTCAAAGAAGAGCCACTCCCTGATTGTCTCACCATCAAGAACCGAAAGATCAAAGAGTTCTGCAAAGTACAGAAAAGAAAAGCATTATTGGGTCATCTAAGATAACACAGTGAATATGATAGTCCATGATGTCAACGGAACATCTCAGCTAGAGGTGGCAAATATCAGCAAAACCCAGCCACTTGAAACCCATCAAACCCACAATCTATTTCACCCACCATATCCATTGATTTGGCAAGTGGATAGGTGGTGTCAATGGGTTTACAAGAACCTGAACATTCCTTATATTTCAGTACCTAAACCTTCCATATAATAATAACAAAGAATTTTGAGTCGGCTTAGAACTCACTTCAGAATTTGACAAACTGGTCTGGGATTCAAATCGATCTTTTGCCAATTCAGTCCAAAAATTCACTTTATCACAGCCACTAACAAACTAATTCACATGTCATTTTAGAGTTCAATATCAGAGCTTCTAAAACTTCATCCAACACCCCTTAGCCCTTAGACTTGACAAATGAATGAAATATCCTCCAATGCACATTAAATTTTCAAGAGATGCAACCAAACTAATTCCATTTGCCACATGTAGGTAGGAGTTAATACTTACTTCAATAGACAAAGCTGTAAAAATAAATGAGACAAGCTTTATCTAAACTTACCAGGAGCATTCCAAGGAGACTTTGTGGTTGCAGCTCCCTCGCATTCTGGGACACCGACATCTTTTCCCTCAGCCTTTGCACCAAAAGCTGCAAAGAGAAGGCCGTCTTTCAGGCCAATGCCTCCGGGCCTAAGAACAGGTTCCATTCCCGGGAGGCCTTCATTCAGGGCTAGGTCATGATGAAACCTACTGCACTAGACCTGCCAAAAGTCCAACCCACCCTGTGCTGGTCGAGCACAATCCCAGAGTGCACATTTTGAGCCTAAGAAGGCTGAAGGAGGAGGGCATATACCTGGAAGATAGCTACTAGCAGGATTCTGGGTGGTACCATCTTCACCACATAGATTCATCCTTCATATTCATTGCGGCTACTAGATAATTGTCACCAGGAGTGTCATTTTGGTTTCGGTTTTCAATTTTAACCGAAACCAAATTGATAACACATTAACTAAATCAATACCCGTCAACAATATGCATTATCACTAACTTAGGTGTAGTAGACTTCTTTTCGATCTCCATTATTATTATTATTATTATTATTATTATTATTATTGTCATTTTTCACTCCATTTTTGGACTTCTCAAACTATGAGTTTTGTTTGTGGTTTATCCAAACCAAATCAAAACCATTGAATTACTTATCGGCTTTTGGTTAACCAATAAAGAATAAGATTCTTAATGATTTTGAGTTTTGATAATTTGCCTAATTTGGTTTTTAATTTTTCATACTTAATGGTTTGGTTAACCAAACTAAACCAAGTTAATTAATGACCAACGTTTAGGCAAAATATTGTCAATTCTATTCCAATTCAAGGTCAAAGACCAATTTTCATTCCAAATAAAAGGGAACAATTTTCATTTGCCCAAAAGTGTCAATGTCACCAATGCAGTCAAAAGCGAGATTCTACATAGAAGCGGAAAGGGGTAAAATCGTAAAGCGTAGAATTAAAGCGTAAAAGACTAAGTTTTTTACGCATACTGTAAAAGAACTAAAAATATATTAAGTACGACATATACTATGTAAAATATGAGTGCACAAAATTTAGATAAGTTAATAAATACTTACAAAGTATATGGTATGTATCTTTTAATCTCAAACGTATCATATTGTTAGTGATTTACCTTTAAAATAGACTTTTTACAATTAATTTCATGAAAAGAATAACCATTCAGTGAAGTAAAAGCGTAAAAGCGTAAAGCATTTTAGTGAACTAGAAGCATAAAAGCGTAAGGTTTTAAGTTTTAAAGCGCAATTTAATACGATTTTATACGCTAAAGTTTTTTAAATGGAAACGAAAGTGTTATAGTGACCTAGAAACGTAAAAGCGTAAGTTTTTAAATTTTGAAACGCGATTTTATCTGCATTGAATGTCACATTCAAATCAACTTGCAATATAACTTTTCTACAATCAAACGATCAGATCAATTTAAAACTCTCAGCTAGATGATGCAATTAAGAAACCAAGCTAAAATATTGGATAACCAAATCATATCAGTCTCTCGTACTGCATCTCGTGCAAATATCAACAAATCATGTTGTTATTCACTAAGGGCTGTTTACTTTCATTTCTGTTTCCTATTTTTGAGAAAACAGATGATGAAAACAGGTGAAAACAACATTTTGTCATTTCCAAAAACAGCAAGAAGTTGTCACTTTCTGTTTTCATAGTTGGAAACGAATAAAAAACTGAATGAAAAATAAACAAGTTTTAAGTTAGGAGAAAAGATAAAACGTTTTCTCATGCGATTCTTTTATACAAAAACAATAGAGGCATATTATTTGTAGCCAAGTCGATTACTATTTGCCCCCAACTTTGTATTAAAAAATTTAGTTATGTTTTATTAACATATGGCTTTGGTAAATGATTTTTTCACAACTTATAAAAAATATCAAAATCCCCAAACTTACAAAAACTCTAAATTCAAGCCAACTTAATTTTAAATTTCAATAATAAACCTAATTTATTTCCTAATTCAAACACTAAACCCACTAATCCAAACCCTAAACACTAAATCAAACCTTAATTTAGAGTTTAGAGTTTAAATTGGAGAATTATTTAGTATTGAATTTAAAAATAAATTATTTTTAGTATTTAAATTTAGAAACAATTTTTCTACTCCTCTCAACCTTAAACATTTATTTCCACCAAACCACCAACCTTCTACCTTGATACATCCAATCCTACTACGATGTCATTTTGAAGGCCAAATCTTTCGAACCTCCACTAACAATAATCATTTTCATCATCGAAAGACTCATGCTAGTCCCAAGAAACTCCATGTTTCAACCCCCGGGGCTACCGAAAACCTCTATCAAAGTTTCAACACTATTCATTATGTTTACACCTGGGACCTCAAATCGAGAAACAAAAAATTCCTATGCATTTGGGAAAAAAATTTAAAGAGACCAATGAAGGATTGGGTCATTTCTAGTGTTGGTAGCTCGAGAAAAGATCGTTTACAATTAATAAGCACACTAATTGCCATTTTCCTAATTAAACATTGCATTTTTGTCAAACATAATTTATTTTTTGATTCTACAATTAATAAGCACAATGAAATAATTATATCTATAAAAATAAACTTTAGCTGAAAGTTCTGGTAGTCGGAGCCTAGTCGATCCAAGCAATCCTGACGGCCCGCTGATGATTCCGACCAGTAAAAAAAACTGAAGGTCGGTGCCTGGTCGCCTGAAGGATTTTGGTGACTGGAGCCTTATCGAGTCAAAAATTCTCGGCGGCTCGACGTGGTTCCTGGCTGGAAAAAACATTTAATGTTGATGTGACTTGAATCGGACTATCAGTCACTATGACTGGAAGTCACGGAGTTAGGTTTAGACCCACCTAGAGAAGTATAAATACTTCTCATCTCCTTTGTAATCTCCTTGATATAGTGAAAACTAGCGCTCTCCTGCCTGTGGACTAGCTAGAACACATTGTGTTAATGAACAACGTAAATTATGTGTCGTGTGCTTTCTGTTTTCGTTTTCTTGATTTGTCGATTCCGGCAATTTCTCGATCCGTAGCAGCGCAGTTATAACAAGTGGTATTAGAGTCGTGGCTGGAAATCAGGCTAGGGTTTCGATTCTGAAGAATGACGTCGGTGAACAAGAAGATCGACAAGTTGACGGGGAAGAACAACTTCGCTATATGGTAGATCAAGATGCAGGGTTTATTGAAACGACAAGGGATATGAGGCCCGTTGTCTGCAAAACAAAAGAAGGTAGCGGTCGATGACGATGAGTGGAATACCTTATAGGAGAAGGCCCACTCGACCATCATGTTATCGTTGTCTGATGACGTCATTATTGAAGTCGCTGCTGACAAGACTGCCGCGGGCTTGTGGTTAAAGCTGGAATGTCTGTATATGACAAAGTCTTTAACCAACAAGCTGCATCTCAAGCAACGATTGTTCAGCTTGAGGATACAAGAAGGTATGCCTTTGAGGGAACATCTGGAACAACTTAATTCTATTTTGTTGGATTTACGCAATATAGATGAGAAAGTTGATGATGAAGATGCTGCCCTAATCCTGCTTGTATCTTTGCCGAGTTCATATAAGAATTTTGTGGATTCTTTTATTGCTGGTAAAGATAGCTTGTCGTTGGAGGATGTCAGATCTGCTCTTTACACGAGAGAGATCGGACATAAGGCATCCGGATTTGGTACAGGTGGTGAAGCATTGGGGTTGGCTGTCACAGGTGGAAAGGGTAAGAAGAAATCTAGTAAAGGGAATTCTAAGGGTCTCGGACCACAACCAAGCGATGCTTGTCACAACTGTAAGGAAGTGGGGCATTGGAAGTATAACTGTCCCAGGAGAAGAGGGCAACAGAAGAAGCAAGATTCAGTTGTCATGGCAGAAGTGGACAACAGTTGTAAAGACGATCTCGCATTGGTTGTAGATGAGAAGGCACATCGTGGTGATGTGTGGTTTCTGAATACTGCAGCGTCATACCATATCTCTTCGAATAGGAATTGCTTCACAACCTACGAGCAGATAGATGGTGGTAACATGGTCAGGGCAAATGGAGTTGTCTGCAAGGTTGTTGGAATCGGGTCCATAAAGGTTCGGACACATGATGGTTCGTTTGGTACTGTGAATGATGTCAGACATGTTCCACGAATGACAAAGAACCTGATCTCCTTGAGTCTACTCGACAGCAAGGGTTTCAGTTTCAAAGGAAAAGGTGGAGTTGTGTATGTCTGCAAGGGTTCGAGGAGTGTACTAAAAGGTGTGAAACGTGGTAACTTGTATGCATTACTAGGAAATGTGTTGTCAGGTTCTGTTGCAGTTTCATCGGCTCGGGTTCATCAGGAAGATATGACCACTCTCTGGCACATGAGATTGGGTTATATGAGTGAACGAGGGATGTAAGTTCTGTTGAAGAGGGATCTTCTTTGCGGGCACTAGGTGCAAAATTTGGAATTCTGTGACCATTGTGTGTTTGGGAAGCTACATCGTAGCAAGTTTCCCAAGAAGGGTATCCACCGGACGAAGGGAATACTAGATTACCTCCAATCCGAATGTTGGGGTCCTTCACGAGTTGAATCCATTGGAGGCATCTGATATTTTCTGTCTATTATTGATGATTATTCGAGATTTACTTGGATTTTCATGATAAAGCAGAAAAGTGAGGCTTTCACAAAGTTCAAGCAGTGGAAGACATTGGTGGAGAATCAGACCGGGAAGAAGATCAAGAAGCTACGAATGGAAAATGGTCTAGAGTTCTGCAGTTATGAGTTCAACGAATTCTGCAAGGATGAAGGGATTGTCCGTCATCGGATCGTTAGAGATACACCGCAGCAGAATGGCGTTGCAGAAAGGATGAACCAAACATTGTTGGAGAGAGCATGGTGCATGCTCTCTAGTGCTGGACTAGAGCGAAGATTCTGGGCAAAAGTAGTAAACATGGCGTGCTTCCTGATCAATCGTGGACCTCACACAGGTATCGAGTGTAAGACTCCTTATGAAGTGTGGTATGGTAAGCCTGCTGATTACTCTTCACTGAAAGTTTTTGGGTGTCCTGTTTATTATCATTGGATGAGGGTAAACTGAACCCAAGGGCAAAGAAGGGTGTATTTGTGGGTTACGGATATGGAGTTAAGGGATTTCGATTCTGGTCATCTTCTGAGCATCGAGTTATACTCAATAGAAATGTGATATTTGATGAGAAGTCTATGTTTAACCCCATGTTGAAGGTTACTGTTGTTGAAGGTAGCAGGAATGTTGATAAGCAGGTGGAGCTACAAAATCTCAAAGAGAGTGAGTTTGAGCACCAAGGTGGAGAAGATCAACATGATGATGTTTCTGTAGAGCTAGAAACTTCAGAGTCCAGTGCACGAGCTCAATAGT